ATTGCTTCAGAATAAATGAATAAATGGACGCGTCCTTTATTCCAAATGGAACTATTTAAACGAAAATCGTAGCTGTGATGTTATCCGCCTCGTGTCTGTAACATTGTTTCAGTTATTCGATTTTAATTAATATCGATCAGAGTGTTTCTGCACTAAAAGGTGGCAAATGAAATGTTTTAAGGGCTGGAAAAAAGTTGGTGGCAAACGATTCTTTGTGCGTGTGTCTTCGAGCCCAAAGACAGTTTTCAGATTTTGGGACACTTTCTTAAAAACTGTTCTTGGACAAGCACAGTGGTGTGCATATTTTGAGGTCCTTTTTAAATTAGGTTGCGTTTTCCTATTTGCTTCTCTGCACTTTAGCCAAAAATTCCTTCCAGACAAAACTAATTGGCAAACCAAATCTGAAAATAAGCGTCGAACGAAGCACAAGTAAACAAACGAGCATGGTGCGTGCAAGTTCTTGCCAGACCATAATAGATTAAGTTGTAGCCAGTGTGTATTCGGATATTTGGACTTGCACGATAGTGTTATGACGAATGCAAATCGTTATGCTTATTAGTTGAGAGGAATATTTTAGCAACATGCAACGATATGCAAAAGAGCGGACGTGTTGATGGCGTGGAACTGCTGATAGACCCACCCCGATTTCATATTTAAATAGTGCGACAGGGTTTAGGTGGGAGCTCTTACAAGATTAGAGTTTTATCTGCGGAGAGGTAAACGCCCACTTTGTTGCTTGCTTATCCCCATATGCCAAAGCTGCCATATGATTAATAGGCATTCGTCAGCACTATTAGGGGAGTGATAATGAACTCTAGGTGTGGATTAGTTGACGTGCTTAGTGTAGATCTTCATTAATCGATCATCAGTTCAGCCGGCTTGAATTGGTAAATAAATATATTTAAACTGGCTACAAAGTTTTCTTCGCAAGTATCAAAGAGCCTGTTGGAGCCGATCCTTCATGTGCTCGTAACATTTTCCGGCTGCTTTGTTCGGCTCTCCCGCGAGAATGCAGACATTCCCGGTTATCCCGGTGTCATCCCTTGTTTACCTCGAATTACTGTTTGTTGCACGAACGCGGTCAACTTGCTTTATTGGCCTCCGAGAATTGGAGCTCTTCATCTGATACTCCGATCGCCCGCAATTTTACAGTAAACCAAGAAGGGGGATTTTTTTTTATTTCTTAACGTGTATTATGCGATAAGACTGAGTGATTTTTGAACGGATGGGGAGGAATTGCGACACTGCTTTTGAGGTGTTATTGGGATGGAGGCAGAAAATCTGTTCTTGAAGCGTTTAACAGTGCAAAATTCAGTAAATTGATTGATTTTGAGTTGGATATTTGTTTGGTAGCGTAAACTCATCAGGTTGTACAAGGTGGTTTTCAAAGAATGTGGTAAAATTCCCTGGCATATTGTTTGGGCAAAAATATTGCATTTCAGGCTAATTTTTGCTTATCATAAAGTTAGTAGCTTGCAAGGTGCCGGTGTAAAATTTTCGTTTTTTAATAGCTTTTTAACCAGTTTTTCCACCTGCAAAAATTTGTGTTTGGAGGTTTTTACATCAGGGAATTGAAAACTCCTATTACTAAGCTGGTAGTTTTTAGACCGCGGTAGCTGCAGTAGTGCAAATTTTCAACAAAATAATACTTTTTACAAACTTCTTTTTGGGTATTTTGCCTCAAAAATTTTTGTCTTTAAAAACGAGAGAATTTCCTCACGTCTTTTATTACAGATTGATAAATAGTGCTCCTATTTCGCAATAAGACCGAATTATTTATCAAAAAGTAATCACCTAGAGGGTATCCTGCGACACACTTAGGCTCAAGCTGTAAGAGAAAATTCCAATTAGTAGAGAATTTATTTTGAAAAATTACCTTGACGTTTCGATAGCTATTTTCTGCTATCGTTATCAAAAGAACCTAAATGAACCTAAAAAAGAGTATGTTAATAAATTGT